AAAACATACAAAGACACTGATGGGATCATCATGATGAGGGAGATGCAACTTGGGAAACAGGAGAGTATCTACAAAAAGCTTATGAAGATTTTTATAACAAATGGTTCGTAACCCAAATCTCGGGACGAGATTTTTATAAGGGGGGAGGGCTGTAACACCCCGGTGTTATGCCTACATTTAGGCACTGCAAATCATGCATATCATGCATCACCAAGCATCCTAATCATACATGCATAATCTTGCCTATAATAACTGAAACATTACTTCGAAACATACGAAACATGTTTGTGAAACGTAAATGATGCATACACTTATTAGAGTTGTTTTGCTCTGATTCTTGCTTGCTAGGTTAGTAGAACATGTTTGGCTGCTATTGTAAATCATCTAGCAATGTTTAGTTCAATTTTTGGAGCAATGTTTGTATTCCAATTTAATTCAAAATTCGGCTTCAAAAATAAATTCCAAAAATTAGGGTTTTGAGCTAAACGTGGACTTTGATCTTCCAATTCAAAATCTAGAAAGAATTTGGCTGTGGTCCTAAAAGCAAAGTTGTAGAGAATTAAATTCTAAGCAACTTTCATTTTTGGTACATTTTCAAAAGAGGTCATCTTCTTACTCAAAATAAGATTTGAAAGCTGGCTTTTAAAAAAAAAAAGTTCTTGAAAATATAAATGAAAAAGATGTTTTCTGTTAGCGGGCCGCCGCCTCGCTTCTGGCCCGCCAGCCGAAGCCGGCCCAGCGAGCCTCCCGCGCCGCGCGCGCCTCGCCTCGCTCGGCCCAGCCCAGCACCGTGCCGCGCCCGGCCTGCCTCCGCTCGCCTGCCCGCGCCGCGCCGCGCGTCCCGACCGCGGCAGAGCGCGCTCGCCGCGTGGCCGCCCTGCGCTGACAACGCCCGCCGCGCGGCAGCCACGGCCTGGCTTCACCTCCACGCGCGCGCCTTCTTCTGCCCCGCAGCGCGCTCCTCTCCCCGCACTCCTCGCTTTCGCCGCCTTGTCTCCCTGCCTCTTGCTCCGCAGCAGCAGCAGCGCACGCGCTCGCCACCGTCGCTGCCCCGCCGACGACGTGCTCCACCGCCAGTGCTTCATTCTTCGATTCATCTCGCCCGGAGCTCCGCCTCGCCTAGCTCCTTCGCTTGCGCTCACTCGTGGCTGCCATCGTCAAGGTAAGGGCCGAGCTCGGCCGTCCCCCTTTCTCGCCGGCGAGCGGCTGCCGTGGTCGCATGGAACGCCACGACGCCGGGCCACCTCTAACCTTCCCGTAGGTGCGGCTCCGCGTGGGGAGCCCGCTGATACCGCCTGCATCTTCGGAGGAGCTCGCCGCCGATGAGCACCGGCCGGCGGAGCGCCTCCCCTGCTCTGGGTCGCTGACCGGCAGGGCCCAGCCGCAGTGGCGTGGCCTTGCCCGGCCGAGCTGGGCCAGGCTGGCTTGGGCCGAGCCCCGAGCCAGGCCGCCGCTTGCCCCCTTTCGCTCGGTCTGAGCAGGCCGGCTGTGGCCGTGGGCCAGTGCATCCGCAGGCCGGCCCAGTAGAGTTTTGAAGAATTGATTTCCATTTATTCATTCTTATTTGAAAACAGAAATGGTTTGCAAAATATTTGGATACTCAAAGTTGCTCCAAATTTGTTGAAACAAATTTTGCTAGGTTCCTTATCACCAGATCTACTTGGGAAAAATAGTGCATGTCATTTTTGATATACTTTTCTATAGGATTTTATTTAATCTTGAATATTGCTGATAACTTGAAAAATATGTAGAAAAATATATAGGCTTCAGAAAAATATGATTCCAAGTTTGTTAATCTTATTATGTCATGTACTTCCTAGGAAAAATATGTTTCATGCATGTGCTGTGGGAAAAATTTGAGGTGTAGTTTAAGTACCTTAGATGGCTGATTTTTGTTATTTTTGCTAGAGAGCAAAATTTGTATAATACATGCATGTGGTAATTTTTGTATAGTGATTATTTACTGTTTAGAATCTAGGAAAAATACTAATTCTGTTGTTTGACACTTTTCATAGTACAAAGTAATTTCATGCTCATTTTTATGCTATAGCTTGTCATTTTTGTGTAGGATAGTTTACTTATCCAAATGCCATGAAATTTTTATGGTAGTCTGTTTAGGGTAGTATTATGCTACTGTAATTTTCTCAGATTTTAGGAACATCAGAAATATAGGTTGCTATTCAAACCTATTATTAATTAGGGTTTAAGCAAGTATTGCCTTAAGTGTGATTAAGAAATTAGTAAAGCTTTGGTGTATCTTTGAAGCATTTATTAAAATATGTTGACTTAACATATGGGTAGTAGAAGAGAATGCAGTAGATGACATGTGCTTGTAGCCTAGTTTCTTGGATGATGTTGTCTACCTTGCCTTTCAACATATTCATTGCATTCATCTCCTTCGATGCACCGATTGCATAGGCACTTACACGCATTGCATCATACTGGGATCGCAAACCGAGAACCCGGTCGTCATTCCCGAGGAGCCGAGGAGCGATTCGAGTGTGCCGCAGAAGTGCCGTGCCGAACGAGGAGGGACGTTGAAGAACTTCCGAGTGCCCCGATCACCGTCCGAGAGCTCCTTCGAGAGAGGCAAGCCCCGAGCATCTTTCTCCGGTTTGCAATGATTTCGTTAAATGCTTTACTTTAAATTGATGCATTACGTTTCGGGAGTTGTTTTTGCAAGATTCTTCGCATTATACCTTGTTTACCTTTGTTATACTATATCCTTGTTACCACGGTATCCGCATGATCGAGTCAATGCTTAGGTGGCTTAGACCGGTAGAAGTCGGGTGATTTCTGTCACTGCGAGCTATAGGTGGTTACACGGATGCATTTGGATGGCTATGAAGTCATGGTATAACTAAGTGTTAAATGAAGTTGAGACCAAGGCGGAGACTTGCGGGGTTTTGACCTGTAGTGTTTAAAATCAGGTGTCGATTAAGGACCGACCGTTGTTGGGCCTCGAGTCATGTTGACGCGATGCCTTACATTTAGTCGGGGCGGATAAAGTACCTTCCGACCGCTGGTGGGAGATTTCGAAGCCGAGTAGATTGCCCGCAGCCGCGACTGTGTGCCGCGGCGGTGTGGTAGGACACGGGCGGGATGATAAGACCAAAGTGCGATCGGTCGGCCCCGGGTACATGTGGTTCTGGCAAACTCGAGATACCGGAAAGTTGATTTCGGTGATCAATATCTCACTTTAGCGGGTGAGTGAGATTTGTGTAAGGAATAAATCACCGGTGGTTAGGAATCGATTCGAATCGCCATCGCCGCTCTGGATAGTGAGCACTTGACTTGAGTGACTTCATCGTAGTAAATGTTTATGGAACACTTGGACAGTTATAGTGAATATGACAGTATGGAAGTTGTTTAATGATCAGTGGTTATCATTAATTGCTTAATCACATGTTTACTTTAGTATAGGTGCAAATCTAGTCGACAGGTTAATAATAATTAACTTGACAATAATGCTTTTAGAAAGGTTCTTGAAATGCTAAAAATGCTTCTTTCGCAAATGAGTCAGCTACCCTACTATAATGCCTGCATAATCCTTGGTGTCATTTATTTTCGGTTATGTCGGGTAAGTCTGGCTGAGTACATTCTCGTACTCAGGGTTTTATTCCCACTTGTTGCAGATGGGCAGATGTACTATGGCTATTGTATCAACTGCCTCTATCCTGCGATGGGTGATGCTTAGGACCATGGGCATGGTCATTCCTTACGTCTCATCTAATGCTTTTGTTGGAGATGATCATCAGCTGGCACTATATTTGAACTCCGTGTGAGTGTGTGTGGTTTTAAACAAATGACTTCCGCTACTTTTTATTCGAACTTGTTTTGTAATAACTTTTATTTAAACTCGATGTATCATTATGGAAACTTTTATGTAATATGTGATTGGTGACCGCTAAACTTATTACGATCATGGCTGGGACACGAGTTGGTTTGAAATCCTTCGTGATTTCACGGACTACCGGGTTATACGGGCTTAAGTTTGCTCAATCGTCTGCTCTGGTGGATGATTTTCTTACTTAATTTCGTATAATTGGTCGGTTCTGTTACAGCGCGGTTGCCGTTGCCATGCCCCCTCCTCCACATTCCCATCCAACCACCACATGAGCCTACCCCACCACCGCACGAGCTCACTTAGCCGCCACAATCCTATTCTCCATCGTCCCCTTATGATTGACTCTGTCGTGCTTGCATTGAAGCTTTTACTATCGAGACCCGTACCAAGAAAAGATAGATTCTAGGTGTAAATTGTATCACGTAGTGCTTACCGTCTTAGAGTATATCCAAGAGTCTATAACATCCCTTTACAAATTCTCAGCACGTCCTAAAGAGTCAATCTCTCTCTTTATTTTTTTTGCTAGTTATAAATCAAGATTAGAGAATTGCAATATTTAGATCTGTCAATCTCAGCTCTTTATTTTTTTGCTAGTTATAAATCAAGATTAGAGAATTGCAATATTTAGATCTATTTAAAGAAGAGGGATTTTTTTATTAGAATATTTATTTCTATCAACGAAGAAAGATATAGAGAAGACTTCTTAAAGTTGCTCTTACATGCCTAAAACTAGTGGTTTTACATTTTAATTGTGTTCTTTTGATAAGGGAGTACAGTTTTAATCGTTGGAACTGCCCTGACAAATCGAGCTGATTAGTTAAGCACGCTTCGTCAGAGATAACAAGCGTCGGTCGCCGGTCGGTAGTAGTGACTGGTTCAGCGCTTTTGACTCCCGGTCTCCCACCACAGCTGCTCTGCTCCTCACACAACTCAAAGTACCAGGGGAGGGAAACCCAACACCACAGTGAGTCAGTGACACGGTGCCACACTCCCCTCGGTTCTCTCTCCACTGCTTCCCTCCCTTCCGCTTCCCAGCCCCAGTGCACCACCAGCTCGCGGGAAATGGCTGCCTAGCCAGCTAGCCTAGCTCAGCAAGAAGCAAGAAGCAAGAAGCAAGAAGCAAGAAGCAGGAGTACGGAGTACTAGGGAGGCAATGGGTTGCTGCATCAGCAAGAAGTGCGACGAGCCGCCGGGCGCGGCGGCTGGGGAAGCTTCCCGGTGTCGGTCGGAGGCGCGTGACCCGCCGCCGCCCCCGCCGGAGGAGGAGACGGTGAAGGAGGTGCTCTCGGAGACCCCGAAGGCCAAGCCGAGGCCCAGGCCGAGGCGCGTGGCCGCGTCAGCGGGGCAAGAAGCAGGGGAGACGGCGGCCAAGCCGAAGCTTGGCACTGCTAGGGCTAAGGATGGCGGTGGCGGTGTCGGTGGCAGGACGCGTCGGGCGGTGGGGCCGGCGCGTTCCGGGCCTTCCGGCGACGAGAAGTCGGAGGTGGCGTCCGAGTCCTCGGCCGCGACCACCGCGGCGGGCCCCGAGCGGTCCCCGGCGAAGGCGTCCAGGAGGCGGGCGGCAGCCGTGCCCGGCGAGGTCGCGCGCGGCGCCAGGCGGGACCGAGGCGCCGGCGGCGGGCGCTCAGGTGGCGGCCGCGCGGCCCCCTCGCCGCCGCCTCCGCAGCCGCAGCCGCGGCGGCGCGATGCCGTTACCGGGGAACGGCCGGCGCGGAGGTCCCCGTCGCCCGCGGCGAAGCGGACGCAGGAGCAGCGCCGTGCTGGCGCGGGCGCCGCTTCCGCAGCCTCTGGGACGCAGCGTAAGCCGCCTGTCCCCCCCGCGAGGCCCTGTGGCCGCGCGTCGCCGAGACGTGGGCAGGAGGCGCCTCCCGAGCTGTCGCTGCCGGCGCAGCCACGCGAGCCTGAGCATTGTGCGTCTCTGCCGCCAGTGCTACCAGAGGAGAATGCCGGCGCGGTCGCCGGCGACGGTGAGGGGAAGGAGTCGCTGGACAACCCGTTGGTGGCCATGGAGTGCTTCATCTTCCTGTAGCACTGATCTTCTCCCCTCCCATTGTCAGCTGTCTGTCAGCCAGGTACTCCACAGTTGGTTTTAGCAGGAGTTAACGAGGTAGCAGCAGCAGTAGGAGCGTAATTTGGTGAATAATCTAGTCGTGTAAAATGTCCCCACCCCTGGGCTGGGTTTTTTTTTTTTATCCCCGTGGGAGAAAATTACTCCCAGGTTACGGAGTATTTCCATAGCGCCGTCAGATTCAGATCACAAGGCTCTCTGACGTGCTGTTGTAGTGTCGTACTGGCGTTACTGCTCTCCGATCATGCATGTGTAGTCCTCATCTTCTGTTCTTTTTGCAATGCCGAGTCATTCAGACCTGGAAAGGCATTCCATTTGTTATATTACACTGCCCGCCGATTCGATTTGCACTGCTGGAAAGCTTCACCTCACACACGCGTGTTCTTTTACCGTCAGCGCACATAGCCACACCGTTGGCCCAATTTGCGGTGCAGCAGGAAGGATTTCGCGGTAGCTGTACAATTTCGCCCTGTACTCCGTATATATACTACCTGTTGGCTTCATAAACCTGGGTCCCCAATGAACCCACCTCCTTACAATACTTGACCTAGCAGACGGCGCAGCGACAACGCGCGATACACGATGACAGACCGAGACCACGATCTGATCCCCGACCGACACCTCCGGCCAAGAGACCTTGTCGGAGCCCCGACCGGAAGGCCTGGTCGAGGTGGGACCGCAGTTCGACTCCGACCCCGTTCCTTCGATCGATGATATGCCCTTTTTGCTCGCTGCTCTTTCCCGACCGACACGATCGGGGCCGACTGGAAACGACCGACCGGGGACGCCCGCTCGGTGTGGGCTCGGGGAGCAGGCGGAGCAGATAAGGTAAGACGCTCAAGTCAACCGCAATACCGAGGACCGTACCCTGCCACGCCCTGCGCACCTGCAGGACGGTGCCGTTGGGCCATGTCAGGCGAACACTCTACAGCCTGCCTGACGCGTCAGAGCATAAACACTATTGTGGGCGCTGGCGTTTACCGTACCAGGCGAACCCTCTACAACCCGCCAAACACGTCAGAACATAAACAATATTGTGAGCGCTGGCAGCGTAAACAGTATGGCAGGCGACGGTGGCTATCCCATACCCGATGCATGGGCAACAAGACTAGACAGCGCATGTATGCACTCTCTCTTTTTTTCTCTGACTTGTAAGGCCATCTCCTTCAACTATAAAAGGGATGCGCTCTCTCCCAACGATCAGATGACTGGAGGAGGACGATGGCTAAAAAACAGCTCGATAGCTCGACGGCTCTAGAGCTCGACAGCTACATAGTCTACACGTTCTCAACAGCTGATAAGCTCGGACACAGAGCATACGCTCCAATACTTAGCGCATGTTCGAGCATCCGTCACTCTCGCCCACTCAGTTCAGAGTCTGACCGGGCCTCTAACACCCCATTTTCATTCCTTACTCGTTTGTAACCCCACAGCAAACTTCGAGCACCTAGGCTCAGGAATAAAGTCACCGACCGACTGAAACTGGATGTAGGGCACGTTGCCCGAACCAGTATAAATCATGTGTCATCGTGTGCTAGGCCACACCCGATTATAATACATGGCAAAACTACAAATATTTACTTGTTGACCACATTTTGCATCGACACTACTAATCCTAGGTTGGTCCATTAGAGTAATATATGTCCATGCAGCCCGAGGCACGACAGCCCGGTCCGAAGCACGTTTTTTGCCCCGCCCAAGCACGACCCCGCCCGGTAAATAGCACCGGCCCGGTACCAGGCCCGCTACTAGGCTAAAAGGCCAAAATCATTACAGCCAACATAACTCCCGACCCTAAGTCACCGGCCATTCATCGCTCCTTCCCCACCCGCGCCACATTCTTCCTTTTCCCTCCCGCGACTCACGCTCACGCACTCGGCGCCCCAGCGCCGCTTCCCACTCCTCCGTCTCCCGTGGGTTCTCCTCGAGACCTCGACTCGAGTTGCCAGACAGCCGCGAGGACGCCGGCGTGGACCGCTGCACCGGCCTCGACTCCCTCGAGCGCGGAGGCCGCAAGGGCGCGACCACGGGGCTCCACCGCGCCGGCCGCAAGGACGTCGCCCTCGAGCGCGCCACGGACGCCGCGAGGGTGCTACCAACCTCGAGCACACCCGCATGAAGGCACCACCGCGAGCATCGGCCTTGGTTCAACTTCCGCCTGCCTCCGTCCTCCCTTCCCCTTCCCCCCACTGAAAACCTGGGAGCGGACCTCGGGCTAGGCACGGCCTGCTAAGCTGGGCATGCTTTACGGTAAGACACGGCACAAAAACGCCCATGATGTCGTGCACGGGCGAAGGTTCAAACCGTGGCCCAAAGAGGCATCGGCGTGCGTGCCACCGACCCTTTCGGCCGCGGCTCGCCGCCTGCGTCTGCGGTGGGCGGCCGTTGGCCATCTATAATCAGAGATCAAAGAAATACACTTCCGGTGCCCAGTTCAATAACTCTGCTCAAGGCTAACACAGCCAACATAAAATGCCATCTCGTCCATGTCCTGTACTCCTGTCTCCTGTGCAACCGGATTTTCGATCCAATGCGACGGGATGCCTCGCGCCCGCATATTCAATGGCGTGGTCTCAGGTTTCCTTTGGCACCCGAGCCTTGCCAAGTGTTCCTTCAATGCCGTAGCAGCGGGCCAGGTGGCAGGTGTCAAAAACGCATCGCAGCAGGACAAGTGTACTGTGTACGCGACCGCGACCGCGACCGCAACGGGAGCTGTCGCAACAGTGGTAAAAACTATCCGGAGTGCATTGCATCTCTCCAATACACACGCAATCGAGGTCGAGGGTGGTTCGCGCGTTCCTGAGACTGAGACGGTATGGCACCGACGCGCGGGACGGCGACGTGCGCAAGTGACCCGCGCGGCGTCACTGGCAGCGACGACACACGCGCGCCCCGCGGCGCTGGTCAGGGATCAGTGATCACCAAGGTCACTCGGTCGGGTCACGGACTCACGGGGTTCGCGCGTTCAGGCGGACGACCAGACCAGTGGCGCACAAGGCGCGAACACGCGTTGAAGTACGGACCGACCCGCTCAGCCGCACCCGCACCCCGCGGCCGCCTGTCCGCCGCTCGCCCGCTCCTGCTCCCAAGGCTTTCTTTCGTTTTCCAGTTCTCCTGTTCCAATCGCGCCGACACGTTGTCGTAGTGGCGTTGCCCTCTCGCCTCCGCGACGGTTCTGCTGCCGCTGCACCGTACCTACCGGCGGCTACCGACCCGATTTCCTCCGGTCGGTTTCCACCGCGTCGCGCGGCAGGGCGGGGGAGATCGCACTCGCCACTCGGCCACTCAAGGCTTCAGCGGCCGCCGCCGGCCGGGATCTTGGGCGGGGGACGGCGGATCCAAGCCCCGATCTGCGACGGCGTGCGGTGGGTGGCGGATGAGGCCGCCACTCGCCGCCCCATACTTGACCTTGCGTTGCGCGCGCTTTGCGATTGTTTGCGACTGGGTTGGTGAGTCGCATTGCTGCCGTCTTGAGCTCGAGCTTGTTTAGTTCTTCTCTACAGTTTAGTCCCTGTCACGTCATATGGTTGGACACATGTAGGAAGTATTAAATATAGATTAAAAAATAACTAATTATACAGATTACGACTATTTTACGAAATATATTTTTTAAATCTAATTAGTCTATAATTTAATAATATGATGCTATAATAAATATATATTAATGATAAATTAATTAAATTTATTTATATAATTTATTTTATTATTACTATCGGAACGGTTCCATGTGATAACCACGTGACACCCTTGAGCTAATTTAAACACCACCGGCGAGCCAGCCAGCCGCCCAGCCCCAGCACTGGCAGTGGCAGTTTCTCGAATCAGACGATGCGGGGAAAAGGGCACTCGCGTGCCGACATGCGCCAGTGACGCCGAGCCCGTCAGGCCCGCCATTTTCCTCGTTGCGCCGCAGCTTTCTGGTGCCGACCCTTTTCGATTCTGGGGTATCGCGACATCAGTGGATGCTGCCGGTGCGTGCGCGTCGTACGGCTGCTGCTGCTGCACTGCACGTCTCGGCACGCAACGAAAAACACGCAGCGGGCGCAGTCCCAGCCCAGAACAGGTCCATAATCCGTGCCAGGCCAGGCCCACTAACAACTGCTTAATTCAAATCATCAAATGCCTGTTTCCTAGAAACCTCGGTTTTCTGTTTTCCGGTCATGGAACAATATTTTTCTCTCGTAATATTTCAGCATAAACATCAGTATAAACCAAATTTCAGCATAAGCAAACGGGGCTCTCACGCATAAGTTTGTCATAGAAACAACGAAAAAGAAACCTCATGCAGACCTTAGACCACAGGAGTACAGCCTACAGGCGGGCCAGGAAACCAGAAGCCAAACACACCCTTGATGGCTAGAACGACAAGAAAATTGGACACCTCTGTCGAATTTATTCTAAGGCACAACTTCGTGACGAATTGAATTAAGTTCACAGACGCCTCTCGGTCGAGTTTATTCTCAGGCACAACATCGTGAGGAACTGATTCAAGTTCACAGACGCCTTGGTCGAATTTATTCTCAGGCACAACTCCGCGAGGAATTTATTCAAGTTCACAGAGGTTTCATTCAAAGCGCACACAAGAAATTTTGATCACTCGACCTAACAAACATAGCAACTCCAACGAAAGAGTCTTCCGTTTCTATTGTCAACGGAGTTGACAACTTCATTTCTTGTTTATCTGGAGAGCCTTCGTCATATAGTAATTAATCCCTTGGCCAAAATTGTGCTGGGAGCCTGGGATTTTATCTGACGGAAGTGAGATCTTCATGCGGCTGATGGTGACTCTGCCCACTTGTTCACCACCTCTTTCAATTTGTCGAATCCCTGGAATACGAGAGATGGGTAAGGTGATAAACTAAAAGACAATTCCAGAAACAGATAGAAGGAATAGACCAAGACAGCAAGCGCCAAAAGATCGCATGCAAAATAGAAGGCGCTACATGTAAGCAGCCAGCTTC